AAAGAGTGGTACTACTTTTCAGACTTTTTATACTACTTTTTAGACTTTTCATACTACTTTTTAGACTTTTAACACCACTATTTGTACATTTTATTTTTTTTTATTTTACACTTTTTACACATCTTACACTTTTAATACTTTGCACTCCACTCTTCTCTACACAACAGACACAACAGTCCACAGATTCTTTATACTTTATAAATAGTTTATAAAGTATAAATTTTTATACTTTAAAGTATAGACTACTAAACTATAAGTAGTAAATACGTTAAACGATAAATAGTAAACACTTTATAAATAGTTTATACTTTGAACTATAAACTATTTAAACTTCAAACTACAAATAGTCAAGACTCTAAAGTATAGAAAGGTCCACAAGTTGAAGTGCCTGTCCACAGGGTCCAACTACCACCTAAAACTGCCTACTCTCTCCAGTTCCTAGGGTTTAGGGTTTAGGGTTTAGGGTTTAGGGTTTACCACCGCTCCAGGGGCCAAAATGGACACAAAAAGCGTCTTAGCGGCACAGGCCATTTGGTCTTTGCACAAGTTGAAGTGCCTGTCCACAGGGTCCAACTACCACCTAAAACTGCCTACTCTCTCCAGTTCCTAGGGTTTAGGGTTTAGGGTTTAGGGTTTAGGGTTTACCACCGCTCCAGGGGCCAAAATGGACACAAAAAGCGTCTTAGCGGCACAGGCCATTTGGTCTTTGCACAAGTTGAAGTGCCTGTCCACAGGGTCCAACTACCACCTAAAACTGCCTACTCTCTCCAGTTCCTAGGGTTTAGGGTTTAGGGTTTAGGGTTTAGGGTTTACCACCGCTCCAGGGGCCAAAATGGACACAAAAAGCGTCTTAGCGGCACAGGCCATTTGGTCTTTGCACAAGTTGAAGTGCTTGTCCACAGGGTCCAAGACAACTGCAACAATGCACATGTCGTAGCCCATGAGGAGGCCAGTGAGGGCCGCGAAGGCGGAGACGGAGGCCAGGGTGAGCGAGGAGTACTGCCTGCAGCTGCAGCGCCTGCGGCCCCCGCTGCTGCTGCTGCTGCTGCTGCTGCTGCTGCTGCTGCTGCTGCAGGGCGCGGGGGGCTTCGCGGAGGCGGGGGAGGGCGCGGCGGCTGCGGCCGAGGGACTCGCCAGGCCCCCTGAAGCCTCCCCCACCGTCGCCGTGGAGAGCTCTGCTGCTGCTGCGGAGGAGGGCGAAGCGGCAGCCTCTGCTGCTGCTGCTGCTGCTGCTGCTGCTGCTGCGGACGCGGACGCGGCTGCGAGGGAAGCGGCGCCGCCGGGGTCCTCCGGCTGCGCCTGGAGAGCCGCCTGGGAGGCGGCGCTCCCGGCGCGCTGCTGCTGCGCCCCCTCGCTGGCTGGTGCTGCAGCTGCAGCAGCAGCAGGAGCAGCAGCAGCAGCGGGAGCAGCTGCAGCGGCGGCGGGAAGCGCAGAAGGCTGCAGAGAAGGGCTCGAAGCCCCCGCAGGAGCAGCAGCCCGCGGCTCCGGAGCCGGGCGGCTGAGACCCATTTCGAATGCGCAAGTCCGACCCCCTAGACAACTCAACTCGGGTCTTCTAAAGATCCGAAAATAGAAAAGAAGAACTGAAATGCATTTGAAATTCTCCAAAAGGTGGCAGAGAAGTGCAAATGCAAGAAGCCGCGAAGGACCCGTTCAGGTGTATGGACAGCTCTGCCGCGTGGCGCGCAGCACAGGCGGGCGCCGCCGCGAACAATCCAAACGAAAGAAGAAACAATTTAATTTGTTTTTCCTTTTTTAATGACAAATTAACTCTTTTTCACTCATTAAAGAAAGAAAGCTCGAGAATGATGCCCCCCGAACCGCCGCAAACAGCCACGCCGAGGCGCAGCAGCCGCCCGCCAGTCAATGGGCGCCGCGAGGCAGTCAGCCAGCAGCCTTCGCCGCAAACCCTAAATTAGGGTTTGCCCAAACCCTCAGCCCTCCGCCCGTTTTTACCCTCTTATTTCCACCTTTTCAAACATTTATTCTCCATTTTGCAAACACACACTCCCCCCAACTAACTCCAAGCCCGCAACCCCTCTGCTGCTGCTGCGCCGCGAGCACTACCTCTAGCCAAACCGCTACCCCAGCTTCCAACCCTAAACCCTAAACCCTAAACCCTAATTCCAAACCCTTAACACTACTAGCTTTTCCTCCAACTGCACCGCGCCGCCAAAACCGCCCGTCGAGCCTGAGACGAGGGCCCAGATACACCCACCGCGGATGCTGCCGCTGCTGCTGCCGCTGCTCCTGCTGCTGCTGCTGCTGCTGCAGCTGTTGCTGCTGCTGCTGTCACAGTCTCTAGCTGGGGCTCTCCCGCTGGCTTTCCAAACCCTAAACCCTAAACCCCAAACCCTTAACTCTTGCCATTCCCGCCGGCAGAGCCGCTCGACGCGGCTCCGAGCTGCACGGCAGTCCCCACCCTAGGGTTTAGGGTTTAGGGTTTAGGGTTTAGGGTTTAGGCAGCAGGTGCAGCGAGACAAACAGGCTTTGCTGCTTCCCACACTTGTCTCTGGCCCTAGCAACTGCATGCATTGTGGGAAAGGCATTAAATGGAGAATTAAACATACATAAATATTCAAGAATAAATAGAAACAAAAGTAAATTAAATAAGTAAATAAAAGAAAATAAAAGTTTAAACAATTCCAAATAAGCCCTCAAAGCCTTTTCGCTCCTTCAGCAGCAAAAGCTGCAGGCAACCTTCGGTGTGGGCTGCTGCACTGCATCAGCAAAATTTGCTGCAGCAGCAAAATAAAATATGCTGTTGCAGCAGCATATTGCGTTTCTGCAGCAGCGAAGTATGCTGCTGCAGCAGTAGCAACACATTAAGCTGCAGCAGCAGCACAACGGGATATTTTCGGAGTATTACACCGGGTCCCATTGACAAATAGACTGAAATAAATATACTTATTTAAAATACTTTTATTTTTCCTCAAGTGCATTTGGGCAAAAAGAAGAAACAAAAAAACAAATTTGCATGAAGAATAGTTGCGCCGGCGAGTTGTATGTACACCTCACGTCACTACGAAAGGGTTTGTTTTATTTATTCATTTATTTGCTTTTTTATTTATTTGTTACCTATTTGTTTATATTTAGGTCTCTGCTGCTTAAGAAGGCCTGTAAATGAATATAAATAAGTAAATATAAATATAAGTATTCATTTGAAAAATAAAAAAATAAATGTGCTCAGGTGTATGTACACCGCGATGAATTAGTAGTGCATCTCTGGTGTACGTACACTTGATTACATGCAAATGCACAATTTTCTCCTTTTTATCCACTTGCTCTTCAAATATATTTTTGCTTTTTTTCCTTTTATTATAAAAAGAGTATTAAAGAGATTAAAAAGGGTATTTTAATCTGCTGCTTTGCATGCGTTCAGGTGTACATACACCTCACAGCAAGTGCCCCCAAGCAAAATGGAATGGCACCAGCAAATTCCATTTATTTGCATTTTAGACTAAATAATTGAAATTATTTATTTTATTTAAATATAATATGCATTTTCTACTTATTTACAAACAGTCAGGTCAAAGTGACTTTATTTGCATGCATGCACTCCCTCTATCTAATCAAACTCTTTCAGCACAGTACTACTTTGTCTATTTGTTTATTACTTGTCATTTACTCATTTGTTCGTTTTTGTTTAATTACTTTTTAATTTACTGTTCCGTCATTTGTTTCCACGGGGCCCCCGTGGGGGCCCCCATGCAAATGTAACCACCAGCTGCAGCTGCTCCAGCTGCTGCAGCTGCAGCAGCACTAGCTGCAGCAGCAGCAGCAGCAACTGCAGCAGCAGCCTAAACAATAACGGTGGGATATTTCTGTCTCCTTCTCTCCCTGCAAGCTGTCAAGGCCTCAGCCAGCCGCATTACCTTCAGGGGGCCCCCAGGGGGGCCCCCCAGACTATCTACGTGGGGGGCCCCAAGGGGGCCTCCAGAAGACCCTTTTGGTTGGCCCTCACAGTTTCCTACAGAGCCGCCCCCAGGGGGCCCCCCAGTGAGGCCCCCAGCAGGGGGGCCCCCAGAGGGGCAACTAGGGGGACCCCCAGAGGGGCCCCCAGAGGGGCCCCCAGGGTGGGCCCCCTGGGGCTGGGTCCCTGTGTTTGAGTTAACTTTTGCGTGGGCGAATTCATCAACAAATGTTTCAGCGAATTCGCAGCGTAGAAGATCTGCTGCTGCTTCGTCAATAGCCTGAAGAAATAAAAAAGAAGAAGAAAAAAGAAATAAAAAGACAAATAAAAATAAAAAAGATAAAAAGAAACAAATATAATAAAGAGGAACAAAGGCAAACAAAGAGAGACATCTCCTGCTGCCTGCTGGGGAAACTGCCGCTGAGGCTGCCCTGAAGGAGGAACCCCAGACCATAAACCCTAAACCCTAAACCCTGAACCCCAAACCCTAAACCCTAGACCCTAAACCCTAAACCCCAAACCCTATACCCTATAGGCTAGGCCTCCAGTACTTGTAACTAATCGCGGAGCTCTAGGCCCTGAAGCTCACAAAAAATATACCCTGAGTCCTACCTACGCGCTGAGCCCCAAACCCTAAACCCTAAACCCCAAACCCCAGGCCGCGGTTTACCTGCGCCTGCTCCAGAAGCGCTGCTGCAGCGGGCCTCACAGCAGCAGCATGCTGCAGCACGCGAGTTGCTGCTGCTTTTTGGGAAATTAATTTAATTAATTTCTCATTTTCAAGATCCTCCAACTCTCCTGCTGCAGGCTCTCCCCCCAAACCCTCAGGCAGCAGCAAAAACGCATAAGGCGCAGCAGCAGCAGGAAACAAACGCTCCTGCAGGCTTTGGGGGGCCCCACAGGGGGCCCCCATGCCTGTGGGGGCCCCCTGTGGGGCCCCCTTTTGTGGGGTCTCTTGAGACGGGGGGCCCCCAGGGTTTGCATTAAAAGAGGCACCTTCGCTCAGGTCGCATATGGCTATTGGCAGGTCTATGCCGTGAGACCTGCAAAAGCCAAACCCTAAACCCTAAACCCTAAATCCTAAACCCTAGAAAGCATCTCCCTCTTGGAAGGTTTAGGGCAACGCTTGAGGGTTTGGAGCGCGAAACCAGTGCGGTGTGCCTGCCGAGCCGCCAGCAGCTAAACCCTACAGCTCAGGGACTAGGGTTTAGGGTCTAGGGTTTAGGGTTTAGGGTTTACGCGAGGAGGGCGGCCACTTCGGCGAAGAGGCAGGCGGCAGTGGAGGCCCCAAAAGCAGCAGAATTGAGCAGCAGCAGCAGCACTTCAAAAGGCTGCTCAATTAACTCTTTAATGGAGTTAAATGGAAGCAGCAGCAGCGGAGGCACCAGGAGCTGCTGCTGCAGCTCCCGCGACAAAGCAGCGCTGCAGGCACGCCCCAAACCCTAAACCCTAAACCCTAAGCCCCAAACCCTAAACCCTAAACCCTAAAACGTGGTTTCCGCGCCGTCGTGCGTACGCGCCGGTTGCATGCTCAGCAGAGGTTTCCGTTCATGCTGCCTCATCTCAACCCCCCACGCTCTAAACCCCAAACCCCAAACCCTAAACCCTAAACCCTAAACCCTCGGCAAACGCACGAGTTCTGCTGCCGCTCCTTCAGCTTCCTGCAGTGGTACTTCGCGAGGGCCATTGGCGTTGCCAGCAGACACCCGAAGAAAAGCCACGGCAGCACTGCACAGCCAAACCCTAAACCCTAAACCCTAAACCCTAAACCCTAAACCCCGGGCCATAAAAGCGAAGTTTAACTGTGGAATGACAGCGTCCCGTTTGATTCATGGAGTACTTGACAGGCACCGGTGCAAGCAGCCCCTAAATTCAAATAAGGGCTTAGGGTTTAGGGTTTAGGGTTTAGGGTTTAGGGTTCGGCTTGCCCGCAAAGAGTATCTGAAAGCGCTGCTCCTCTCTAGTTAACTTGTGCGGCTCCAGCAGCAACGCGCTGGGGTCTCTGGGGGGCAAGTAACGGTCTACAATGCCGCCTGCAGGCGCAAACCCTAAACCCTAAACCCTAAACCCTAAACCCTAAACTCTAGGCCGCAAGCTTGTAGAGGAAAGCTCTCAGCTTTAAAAGCCAAACCCTAAACCCTAGAAAGAGCTGTGTCAGGGACTGCCCAAGTGACTGGATGAGCCCTCATCCAAAGTGGGGCTTACGCTTCAAGACCTGACACTTAGGGTTTAGGGTTTAGGGTTTAGGGTTTAGGGTTTAGACACAAACCGGGGAGGGTCAGTCCCTGCTCAGTCTGAGCGCGAAGCGCAAGAGCTTCAGCCTCTGCCAGCGTCCTCGGTGCCTGAAAAACCCAAACCCTAAACCCTAAACCCTAAACCCTAAACTCTAAACCTAAAGCCCTAAGCCCTAAACCCTAAACCCTAAGCCCTAAATCCTAAACCCTTCGCTGGAATCCTGAACCATGCAGGCAAGCCACTAGGCCTCGGGCTACTGTTACAGCATCTAGGGTTTAGGGTTTAGGGTTTAGGATGAATTACCTGAAATGGCGCTGCGTTGGTCTCCTTCTCTCTCTCCACCAAAGATGAAAGTGCCCGAGCTGCAGGGGGCCCCCAAGGGGCCCCCAGGGGGGCCCCTAAGGGGGCCCCCAAAGAGTCCCCTAAGGGGGCCCCCAAGGGGGCCCCCAAGCTGGCCCGTAAAGGGCACTTCACGGGGGGCCCCCAGGTGGTCTCGGGGGGCCCCCAAGGGGCCTCCTCCAAACCCTCTAGGGGGCCCCTGGGGGCCCCCCTATGGGGCCCCCCTGGCCTTCTGTGGGAGACGCAGCAGCGGGGGGCCCCCCGGCTGAGCTGTAGAGACAGCCCAGAGCTCAGCATACACCCCGAATGCCCCCTTAAGGGGCCCCCCTTAAGGGGCCCCTGGGGCCCCAGGGGCCCCCGAGGGGGCCCCTCGGGGGGCCCCCCAGGGCCCCTCGGCTGGGGGGCCCCTTGGGGCCCCCACGGACGAAAGATGCGGTGCAGGGGAGCAGACGCCACTGCTGCTGCTGCTGCTGCTGTTGCTGCTGCTGCAGCAGGGGAAGAAGGGGCATCTGGCTTTTGCTGCTGCGTCCCAGAGGTGTACATACACCTGCCCTGGGCAGCAGCAGAGCAGCAGCAAACCCCCAGATGGGGCCTCGGGGTCCCCAGGGGGGCCCCTGGGGGGCCCCCGCCCGAGGAGGCCCCCAAGAAGGGGCCCCTTGATAGGGGGGGCCCCCTAAGCAGCAGACGGCTGTGCATGGGGGCCCCCTGAGTTGCTGCTGCTGCAGAGAAAGACCACGAGCAGGTGGCCCCGGGCCCCGCTAGGGTTTAGGGTTTAGGGTTTAGGGTTTAGGGATTGGCAGGGCCATGAAGAAAAGGCATAATAAAGCACTTTTTGGGAATTTGTAAAGGGACAAAAGGTAAAAATAAATAAATGTCGGCAGCAGCGCCGCCGGCGCCTCGATTTCGGGTGTACGTACACCTCAAGTCCCTGGCTCCTCCCAGGGCCCCATTATTACTTTTTTATGTTTTTATTTTTAATTTTATTTTTATTTTTCCTTTTTTAAAAGCAACACTCTTCCCAAGAGTTCCCTATCATGGGGGGCCCCACAACCCACGAGGCCTCGGGGCCGTGGGGGGCCCCTGCAGTCCTTGGGGGCCCCCGGGGGCCCCGGGGCCCCCAGGGGCCTCTGGGGGCCCCTTGAAGCGAATGTAAAGAAGCCATTTGGGGGCCCCCGGGGGCCCTTTAGCGGGCCTAGGGGGCCCCCTAAAGAGCCCCCATAGATGTGGAGAGCAAAAAGAAAATAGTTTGAATCAAATGTGGTTCTGAGGTGTATGTACACCGCAGGACTGCAGAGGTGCAATTAGAAGTTCATCCCATTAAAATATATTTTCCAGAAACTGAAAATCTCCTTTTCCTCTCTATTCCCCCCCCCCCGTGCCTCTGCTGCACTTATTGAGGGCCCCTTAGGGGCCCCTAGGGAAGGGGCCCCCAGGGCCCCTCAGCAGATATCCCTGTAGGGCTTTTGAAGCAGACTTGAGGGGGCCCCAGGGCTTGGAGAGGGGCCCCCCGAGGTCACTTCAGAGGGTACTGGGGGGCCCCAAAAGTGCATGCATAGGAGGCCCTGGGGGCCCCCTGAGGGGGTTTTAGGGGCCCCTTAGGGGGCCCCCGCCTGCCATCTAGGGGCCCTCCATAGGGCCTCAAGGAGGCCCTTGGGGGGCCCCCAAAAGTGGGGCTCAGTGGCGTGGTAGGGCCCCAAAATTGAACCCTAAACCCTAAACTCAGCGACTAAGCACAGCCACTAAACCCTAAACCCTAAACCCTAAACCCCTGGCGTTAATCACGCTGCCTTCGCACTCGAGGCACTGCAGCAAAGTACTGTGAAGCAGATCTCTGCTCCAGAGCACCAGCTAGCTAGCTAGCTAGCTAGCGAGCTAGCCAGAGAGTTCGGCTAGCTGTCTAACTAGCAATCAAGCTAGCTTCCTAGCTAGCCAGCTAGCTATCTAGTGGCTAGCTAGCTAGCTAGCTAGCTGGCTTGCTGAGGACAGGAACCCAGCTAGGTTGTCAATTAGCAAGCGTGGAAGCATCAGCCTAGAGGATCAAATTGCTGGATGGCTAGCTAGCTAGCCAGCTAGCTAGCTAGCTAGCTGTCGACCCATTAAACTCCGTCACGCTGGCTAGCTAACTATGCCGCTGGTCAGCTAGCCAGCTAGCTAGCTGGTCCCCGATTTGCACAGATTTCCCCTGTCTGCCAGCTGGCTAGCTAGCTAGCTAGCTAGCCAGCGACAATAGCGCAGCGGACGGCCGGGCCAAAATCGCAGCAGCCACTTCTTGCTGCAATTTTGCTGCTGCTGCTGCTGCTGGGGTTGCTGGGCGCAGCCCCAGTACGGGTGTACGTACACCCGGCGGGGAACGCGCCCGCTCCATTTTGAAATTTCGCAAAACAAGAAAAAGCCAGAACCCCCAAGCCCTAAACCCTAAACCCTAAACCCTAGCAGTTGTTCCGCGGCACTGTTTGCCGTGCAAGGCTCGCTGGGGGCCCCCAGGGGCCCGGGGCGTGCGGGTGACGGGGCCCCTCCTTCGTGCGTGTTTGCGTGTCAGTGCGGCTCAGCTTTGAAATAAATAAAAAATAAATCAAAAATAAATAAATGATTGACGTTTGAGTTGAAACGCCGGTCGGTTTGGCGATGTGTGCAGGCCGCAGTAGCTGAGGTGTACGTACACCTCAAGTTGTGGGTCATATTCGCGCGTTGTTTGTCCGATTTCGAAGTTCTTTAGCGTTTTTGAGTCAAATTTCTTCAATCAAATTTATTTTTAATTCAAAATTTAAAGGCCTTTGCGGAAAAGCGGCAGTTGCGACCCCTAAACGGTCCGCGCCGCCGCACCGGCTGCTCCGGCGGCGCCGGCGAGGGTTTAGGGTTTAGGGTTTAGGGTTTGGAATAAAGCCCATTGAAATGGGGCTTTTCCGATGGCAAAGAAAACCCTTTCCGCGTCCTTCTTTGCCTGTCGTGGCCCCTGGGATTTCAGGTGTACATCCAGCTCCCCGGCGCGCGTCTTGTTTGGGATTTTTGTCTTTTTGCAACTCCAGAAATCATAAATTCAAATTCAAAGAAAGTTTCGAAACCATGCAAGAAGAACAAATCCGAGAAGACGAAGAGGTCGAGGCCATTGGCGCCTCCATTGACTACGTCGGACAGACCATTGAAGCCAGCAAAGTCAAGTACCAATGGGTGCCAAATCCTAAACCCTAAACCCTAAACCCTAAACCCTAAACCCTAAGCCCTAGGCTCCGGATCGCAGGTGAATCTGCAGCCCGCCGCAAATCCCAAACCCTCGTCGTTGCGCTCTTCGTCGCCCTTCAGCCTGCATGTGAAATGCGGCTGTCGGCGCAAAGGTTTAGGGCTGCGGCTAGGGTTTAGGGTTTAGGGTTTAGGGTTTAGGGTTTGGGGTTTGCGAACAGCACTTCCGCATCGCGGGCGTGAACCACCGAGTCGAGTTCTTCCACTCGAAAATTTCCGGCAGAAAGAAAATCCTGATGGACGGCCAGCTGATCTACGCCCAGCAGCAGTAAACCCTAAACCCTAAACCCTAAACCCTAGCCAGCCCACAGAGCCTCTTCCCCTACTTCTTTTCTGCTGCTTCCTTCGCCCTGCCCCCTTCGCCGCGAGCCCCAACAAGTAAATAAATAAATAAATAAATAAATAATAAATATATATATATATTTATTTATTTATTTATTTATTTATTTATTTATTTTATTTCAGACTAAGGTCTGCGGGCTTCGAACACAGCTGGCCGCTGCAAGGCCATCTCCTCAGCCTCATTTATGAGCCCCATCTGCAGGCCTTCGCTTTGAGGGTCAATGGGCTCGGCTTTCAGCTCTTCTACAGGCGTCCGTCCTCGGGTTTAGGGTTTAGGGTTTAGGGTTTAGGGTTTCGGGTTTGGGGTTTGGGGCTTAGGGTTTAGGGTTTTGGGTTTTGGGTTTTGGGTTTGAGGGTCTAGGTGGTCTGGGGTTTTGGCTTTGGGATCTCGAGGCTAGGGTCTAGTGTCTTGGGTCTAGGGTTTAGGGTTTAGGGTTTGTGGCTTAGGGTTTAGAGTTCCCGGTTCAGGGTTTAGGGTTTAGGGTTTAGGGTTTGTGGCGGCTTTGCCTTCGTGCAGCCGGAACGATCCTGAACTCTCAGCATGACGCATCGCTCTACAGGGATCCCCCATCTGCGTTTGCTGCTGCTGCTCCTGCTGTTGTTGCTGCTGCTGCTGCTTCTGTCGCTGCTGCTGCTCCTCCTGCTGCTGCTCTTCCTGCTGCTGCAGCAGCTGGGCAGTTCCAGCAGCAGCAGCAGCCAATGGCTAGCCGCCAAAGGCAGACAGACCAACAGCCCTACCAGCAGCAGCTGCCGCAACCGCAGCAGCAGCAGCAACAGCAGCAGCAGCAGGCTGCTGCAGCAGGCCCGGTGGCCCTTCCCCTTTCTGCGAACAAAAATTTGGAGGAAATAGATCTTTTAGGTCAGCTCAAATGAGGTGTTGATTTGCTGCTGCTGCGCTGCGTGCTCGTGCTTTGCTGCTGTGGTTGTGCTGCTGCAATTGCAATTTATCTGCTGCTGCCGCTGCAGTTGTGCTGCTGCTGCTGCTGTTGTGCTGCTGCTGCTGCTTTCACCATTCCTCAGCACGGCTGCTGCTTTTGCTGCTCCCATAGCTTCTGTGCCTGCTGCCGCCTCCGCCACTGCTCAGCTGCCACTGCTCTTACTGCTGCTGCTGCTGCTGCTGCTGCTGCTGCTGCTGCAGACTTGGCGGTCTCCTCTGGGTCTCCGTCGCCACGGGGCGGGGGCCCCTCTGCTGCAGCAACTGCCACGGGGTGCCCCTCTTCTGCTGTTCATTTGACGGCCTCGGGGGCCCCCAGTTCTGATACAGATTTGGAGCAGCTAAATGCAACTTATTGGCTCGAGGGGCCCCTCACTCCGGACTTCCTGGTACCCAAGGGGCCCCCGGAGGGGCCCCTCGGGGGCCCCCCTGAAGGGCCGCTACCGGGGCCCCTAGGGGGGCCCCCTGAAGGGCCCCTAGCGGGGCCCCTGGAGGGGAGCGCGGGCGGGACCCCAGGGGGGCCCCTAGAAGGGTACAGGGGAGGGACCCTAGGGGGGCCCCCCTGGGGGCCCCAGGGGCCCCTGCTGCTGCCGCAGCCTGCTGCTCACAGCCAAAGCCCTCACAGCTGCAACGGGAGTCCCCTCGCAACTCAGCCAATACTGCAGCAGCAGCAGCAGCAGCAGCAGCAAGGCAGCAGCGGCAGCAGCAGCTCCTCCAGCTGCGGAACGTGGGGGCCCCCAGGAAGCCTCCAGAGGGCCCCCGATGGGGGCCCCAATAAGGGCCCCAGAGGGGCCCCCGCAAGCTGTGGGCCCCCCACAGATGAAAAGCTGTTTGCCGATTTGATGGACTTGGCATCTGACAAGTTGAACATTTCACTGTCCCCTCGCCGACAGAAAAACCCTAAACCCTAAATTAGGGTTTAGGGTTTAGGGTGTAGGGTTTGGGGTTTGGAAACTGAGCCGCGGCCCACACTGCGCCGCCTGCGCTGAGGAAAGCTGCAAGAGGCCCCTTTTTCTGCGCTGTGTTTCGGGTGTACGTACACCCCGCGAGGTGTACGTACACCCCGCGAGGTGTACGTACACCTGGGAGGTGCGCGTACACCTCAGCAGGTGTACGTACACCGCAACTG